TTTAAAAAATTATAATTGATATTGTGCAATAGGAAGAAAAGATCTAAAGGAGTAGGGGAAGTGGGAGGGGTAGGGGAAAGGAAAGAATGGAACAGAAAAAATATGAGAAAAAAATGGAAACAAAGTCTTTGTAAATAGGGAAAGGTGGAGGGAGTGAAGGGAGGGCAGGGTAATGGGGAAAAACAAGAACCAAGATACTCATGTAAAGGTACAAGATTTCAATGATGAATCTAACTGTATTTTATACCTTAAATGCATCAATAAACTTAATGTAAAAAGAAAAGTTGGTTTGGGAGATAGAGTTGCAGGCCAAAATGATAAGATTCTTTTTGTAAAAGAATTTAAAATGTAAACTTAAAAGTATTAGTAAGCGCATAGCTGTGAAATCTATGCATCACTAGACAAACCGTGCCCTGGAAACAACTGATTCTTAATCAGGAGTTACCGTCAGTCTTTCTCATAAGCACCAGTCATTAACATAATTGTTATCTATCTCATCCCTTTTATCATCCTATAATAAGGTACCAAACTACTTAGACAAGGGAATTGTATCTGCTCTTAATAGCTATGAATGTTACCTGTGCTAATGGGTACTGTTCCCAAAAATAATTGTTCTTAGTTCATAAAAGTATAAAATATACAATACAAATCTATTTAGTAGACTGAATTATATTATAATCAATTTGATTTTTCAAAATTCCTTTGAATATTATTCTAGGACATCTCTCATGAAACAACTATTGGGCAGTTAAATATAGGAAGTACATATTACAAGGGAGATTAAAGCTGAAAATTCTAATGAGTAAGGATTTCAGAGTAATAAAAATACACACACAGTATTTTATAAAAGTATTTGTGAGTTCCTAAGCACAGATAGGAGTTTCCTCAAAAGCTGAAGAAAATAAACAGGTCTTTACAAAGACTAAGTTCAAAGAGCTGGACCAATCTTCATCTACCAATTTGAGTGGTTTTTAGAGGGCACCATGCTGTCTATCTCCTTACATGTCAGCAATTCACCCCTGCCATTTGACCAACTCTCTTTTTAAGTTTTGTAGGACATCTGATTTATTTATTTTTATTAGTAGATGTCTGTGATATGTAATAATCACAGTCATTGTGGTCCATCAGTACACATCTGGGTCCTTTTTACTTCCCTTTCACCTCCTCTCTCTGTGCTCCTCCATCCCCAGGTCCTTTTCTTATCTTCACAAAATCTCTCTCCCTGTTTCCTATCATCTGTCTTTCATTTTGCTCTTTACCTTATTCCTACTTTGGGTTTTTCAGGTACAAAAAACCATCCAATATTTAACCTTCTGTATCTGATTTGTTTCACTTATCTTTATGGTATCAAGATCTATCAATTTTCCTATAAATGACTCAAATTTATTCTTCTTTATCACTGAGTAGTAATCATATATATATATATATATATATATATATATATATAACATGTATATGTTATCCTTTATCCATTCATCTGTTGACTAACACAGGGGCCAGTTCCAATATTTAGCTATCATGACCTGTGCTGCTATAAACATGGATGTGCATGGATCACTGTAAATGCGGTGTCTTCAACTCTTTTACGAAGACACCCAGAAGGGGTACAGCTGAGTCACTATTTGACTAGCTCTCAATGCATTCCTTTGAGTCTTATAAGTTCTATGTCTCTCTGATTAAAGTCAAATATTATAGGAGAAAGTCATGCCTTCAGTTTCTATCATAGTTTTGTAATAAGCAAGTATCATATATGGAAAACATTATAATGTCCATCATTTACTGAGAACATTTGTGATGGAAGACATTGGTAAGCATTTACATGCATTGGAAAGGTGAGGAAAAGCATTTGGAAGTAAAACATGTGACCCAAAGTATAATTTTAGAAGAAGGTGGTGAAGAAAGACCTAGTGAATTTGCTCTACAAAATTGAACTATGAGCTTCCTAAGAGCAAGATTCATAGTGGCTTTGTCACCACCACATAATCAGCAATAGAGGTATCCTAATGTTTGTTGGGAAACACCAGAGGGAAAGAAGGAAAAGGAAAAGGACAGAGACAAGGAGAAAGAGGGAGGAAATTGGTTTCAAGCTAGGGGAGCTAATCTCCTGGAGAGCGCTGAAAGACTTCAGCTCAGAATGATGAAAAACTTCTGAAAGTGGATTGTAGTAATAGTGGTATGACATTATGTGTTTACTTAACATCACTAAATTGTCCACTTAACAGTAGTTAAAATGGCAACTTTTATACAATGTGTACTTTGCCAAGTAAAAAAATTAATGAAATTTGAACTTTTATCACTGTTGTATAAATGTTGTCCATGTCTCCAAATTTTTGATAAAGTCTGTTAGACACATAAATGCCTAATGTCAATGGATTTAGTGAAAATCAAGAAAAGGAAGTGGGTTAAATGTCTGAATCACAGTAGCTGGAAGAGAAACAGACTATAAAATTATAATATGAGCCATAAAATGATCTAATTCTTCTAAAGTAGAAGCTCAGAGCCAAAGATAAGAAAAAAGAAGAAACTGTCTCCCAACCTCTCTTAGCAGATTCCCCTGTGATATTGAGAGCAGCCAGAATGTCCACCAAACAGGGAAGGAATTCGGGCAAATTTCATTCCAATATCAAGTTATAGTGCCTCAGCCGAGACGTGGGCTCCACGCACATTACTTCAGTTTGTTCCTGCATCCAGAGGCATGACGTGCCATCATTATCTCTGGTTGGAAGATGAGCTAACCAGGGTTACAGAAGTAAGCAAACCTACAGCCAAATGACAGAACCAGGAAAAGTCCCACTTCCTGTGCACAGCTACAGGATTTTGGATACAAATTGCATTTCTAGGCCTTAAGCTAAGAAGAAAAAGAAACATCATCACAACTTTATCTCTTAAAACACTGTTCTTCCCAAGACTACTTTGAAACTTTACAATTTATTCTGTAATAAGGCAAAGAATGGAGAGAACTCTCCAAGTTCGAGTATAAATAGAATAGCTCTAATAGAAGAGAAAAATATGTTTCCCCAAACAGAAATAAAAGCAAGGAGATGGCTTAGCAAGATCACTAAATCCTTTGCATTTTCATAGTACCACAAAAAACAACCTAAACAAGTATTTATTAATATCAGACCAAAACACCTATATCATTACTATATTACTATATCAATGTCATTTATTAAAAGTGATTAGCCATTTAGATAAAAACATAAAGAGAAATCATCTCTGTTCTTGCATCTTTATTGAAACCTAGAAAGCTGAAGAATAAATAACAAAATTATTTTTAAAATATTCTTTAGGCCTCTGAAAAACTTTGACTTTTCCAAACTGTATGTGAAGTGACTGAAATAAACAATAAATGAGTCACCTAAGCCACAGCTTTGAATGGGCCATTTAGAGTTCTGCTAGTGATTTGTATTTTACAATAAATCAGAACATTTCTGAAACCCAAAATCTGTCTTTTTTGGAAACAAAAAAAGGTCATGGAAGACCAATGTATAGTAAAAACCACGTCTTGCTTTAGTGAGAGATTACTGTAAGTCATAGTAAATATTTCTCTGATAAAGGGGAATCTTAAGAGTAGAGTCAGCAAAAGGAAAAACTGAAAATATTGCAACTCTACAGAAATCATCTGTACAGTTCGCTTCTGGAAAACCATCACTGAAATAAGAAACGCATTTTGCACTGACAACGGAGACTAATGACCAGATTGTCCACAAGGATCTAAACCGCCTCCTGCTATGAGAAAAGCATCTATTCCACCTGACACATGCACCTCATCTGTCTCCATTTTCAGTAAAAATTGTCTGCTTCTGTTTCTCCTTGTGCAATTCTGAAGAGAAAATATAGACCTGTGTTTCTGGACATAAGAGATGTTAGGGACAAGAGCAAACTAATTGGTACCAGTTCTCACTTTCTAATAAAAAGCAAAGGGAGTCAGAGCATGGGTTCCCTGTCCCTCCAGGTGGTGCACTTCATTGGCACATGGAGTCAGGGGAGAGCTTGCAAGAGGTAAAAATAAACCAACACATTTCTGAGATTATTAGTCCTTCTGCCCAGATGTACCAAACTAGGGAAGTTTATTGACTCCAAACAGGTCACTGATTTGCTCTGGGGAGTTAGAGATGCTGAAAGTGGAGCTGCCCTTTTGATGCAGCGAGTTTTACAGCCTGGAAATCAACTTCTCTTTCTTGTCATACCTTCTTTACCTTTTCTTTCCTTTCTAGCTGACCATGCAGGGATTTTTTTTCACAAGTTTCCAGTGTGCTCTTTTGATTAAGTAAGACACTGAACCTCTTTAATCCATTGGCCCCTTCATTGTACAGATTTCTCAGCTGTCTTGTTTCCTAAGTAATTTCTCTTTTTCTTCTATGAAAGTCTTTTTATGAGCCCCTAAATATTGGGAGAAATATAAAACACAAATCATTCCATCAACTCTCATACCCTTCACTTCGCCATATATCCAAAGACTTTCAGAACAAATAAAAGATAATCCCTTGCTCACCCATAAAACCAAATGACTAAATCCAGATGCTAAGTTCACACCCAAAAAAAGACCCAGATCAGCAAAAAATGATTCATAGACAACAAAATACCTTGCAAATAAAGAATTCTATTGAGACATAAATTTGCAATGCCAACAAATGCAGGTTTATTGAGAAGTGTATGGCAAGACAAGCTTCCTTTTTCAGAGAGAAAAGCAGAAGCCAGGAGATACAGCAGCAAGGTCAAAACATGTCAAAAGCATCAGGACTGGCCTGTGGGTGGTACAGCCTCTGGAAACATTAAGAGCCCTACACAGCACCAGGGATCAGCCCTTAAAATCATCTTAGTGCTTGCCAGAAGAATTTTAGCGTGCCAAAGGCAGCTTGCCCATGGCTCGCAGCCAGCGATGAGACAGTTAATGGGGTCAGAGCTGAAGTGATTCAGGCAGCATGCGGGAAGATCCTGGAAGCACAGTTTGCAGGGCATGGCACGGAGTCTTGACTATCTCACTGGATTCCACACACTTAGCAAGGTCTTCGGCAGCTGGACATGTAGGACTGCTGGTACATCCTGGAGACCCCACAGGCTGGTTGGCACACAGTGGAGATGCCACCCACTGGTTGGCAGACACTGGAAATGCCTCCCATGGGCTGACAAGCACTGGACACAAAGGTGAGTGGCCGGCTGCAGGGAGTTGAGCAGGTTGTTGGTCGAGAGCAAGTTACCTGGACAGGGTTGGAGACGCAAGAAGTTCGCTGGTAATATGTTGGCTGGCAAACAGTGGGCTGGCAGCTGGTCTCCTGACAGTGGTCCAGGAGCCAAGAGCCAGTTTGGAAGGAGCTAGGCAAATAGATGCCACTCAAGCAGTCAATATCTTGGGTCGCAGCTGTACCCCCTGGGGCCTGGATAGTACAGCGTCCTCCAGTTGGCCTGGAAGAGCAATTTCTTGTGGAGCAGTTGAAGGACATGATGCCAAGTGAAGGGAGGGCAGCAGGTATCTCTCTGAAGTTAGCTTCTGAATTGTGAATGTCACTTCAGGTTCCTGAGCTTTTATACATCCTTGCTGGTGGGTGGGGCTTCCTCCCCGGTCTCCCTGGCTTCCTTGGCTCACACCAGCTTGCCTTAGAACATTTTGTGAATCTACAGGTTAATTGTCTCTTGAGAAGCCTTCCTCCTCATAAAGAAAGTTTAGTAGTTTGGTAACTAAACCCTATGTCTCCCGCACAGTAGTTCGTCTGGTTTAAGAAGGTTGCTGGACGGCTTCAAAGGGATTGGTCATCCCTGCCCACATTTTCATCCTCATTCATCTTACTTGCATCCAATGAATGTCAGTCTGACTGCAGCCCCAAACATGCAAATCTCCTACCATCACACACTCTCTCCCTTCTGACCAGCCCTGATTACAAGCCCACACCCTGCTTGGTTTATCATTGCCATTTAATATGTTTTAAGCACAACTTAATCAGTCACTCTTCTATAGCTAACGGGGCTTCTGATAGGGAAGGTGCCTCCTTGATATATTTCAAGATGAGAAGACCTACCAGGAGAAAGGACAGAAAGATTTGAATCCAACATACAAACTGGCTGTCAAATTAATCGACTGACCAAAGGAAGATGCTCACAAGAAGGCTGGAGGGCAATGGGACCCTCCCTTTCAGTTCAAGTAGTGAAGCAAATTAGACGCTAATTAAGTGCAACTGCATTTGTACCCAAGACCCTTTCTAAATAAATTGGATGAGCTTTACTCCTAAAGTTTTTAATCTGATAACAATGGATAATAGTGTCTCATGAGCCTCATTAATATGCCAGTGGAACAGGCTTAGTTAATTTCTAAATGACTATAATGTTAATTTGAAAGGGTAGAGTGTCTTTCTCCCAGTTTGCTCGATATATTCAAAACATATTTGTTTTCACACAAGTACTTATACACAGTATGCATTTTAATCATGGGCAAACTAAGGGCTCTCCAAGGTCATTGTCTGTACCGGAGATAAGGGTAGTCAGGGGAGAGGAAGTAGGCACTTAAACATTGCTAGGTAATGAATGGATATGTAAAGAAATTCCTCTAGTATTTAATTATTTCTTATGTTTGGAGCAACTGTAAGGATGTTATTTTTCTTTATCTCATCTCACTACAGTTCTAAACATGAAAATGACTGCTCCAAAACTGTCAGCTCATCTGGTAGAGCCAAGTGAATCAAGGAATTTGACTCTGGCAAAATAAATCACTTTGACATAGCTTAAGTGGTCAGTGCCTTTTCTTCTTCAACAAAGCTGTAAGATCTGACTCATTTTGTAAACTAGCTTTCACAGAGTACAATAATGGATTTACATACATTTGAGGTCTCCAGGTAGGCAATGTTTTAAATATCCACAAAGCAAACAGCTTTATGTCAGAACTCATTAGAAGTCCCCTCGCAAAAGCATCATTCATGTAAATGGAGGCTAATGACACACTCTAACAAGAAGATGCTGTGCTAGGGGCAGTATTATAATTCCCAGGGATCAGCCCTCAGTGACTGAAAGAGTGTTTTCAGGAACAGGGTAAGATTAACGAGATGACTACTTTCCACAAAGCTGTGACTCTGCTCTTCCCACCACCAAGAATGTTTCAGTTGGTGTTTGAAGATCAGAGTCCCTGGTCACAGGGCCTGGCTTGCTTGTTTTAAAGTGGATGAGTAGTTTACAGGCTTCCACCAGCCAAAGACTTGCAGGTTGTAATGGAAGAGTACTCAATCATGTTTATATAGAGGGAAGAGATGTAACTCCCAAACCTATTAGATATCTGAAACGCAAGTTCATGTTCTCTAAAATCAAAGAATGAAGTCTAGGGACAATGGAGGTTAAGAGTAGGAAAAATTTATTGAGAGAAAGAAAGCTTCTAAGAGAGACAGAAGAGCAACCAGAAAGTTGGTTGCCCGCTCACCCCACTTTTCAAAGATGTTTTATATACAGCAAAGCCATGTGGTGAGGCAGGTACAAAGTGGGACAAAACTATAAGACCCAATGGAAATTTACAAGATGGGCATGAGGTGGGACAAAACCATGACCGACCAATAAGATTACAAGTACAGTCACCCAGGTAATATTGATTAACTGGGGATCAAATGAGAAAACAAGTCACCTACACAGAATTTCCCATTTAGAACATCAATCACGCCATCGATCCCCAGGGGAAGTAGTGCCTCCTCTTTTTACAATGCTAACCAGTGAAGGTGCCTCAATTGTTCTCCATGTTGGCTCCTGGAAAGCTGACACCTTAAGGGAGGCCCTGTCTAACTGCCTACAAGATATCTAATTAACTTACCTGTCTACAATAATGTCATTGCTAAAAAAAAGTAAAGTCATTAGGAGGGTAACCCTGAGAAGTCTTTGGCACCCACTGCTACATTTCTGAAATGGCAGAGGTTTTTGTAGGTCATTATTTTGTCCAAATTCAACTTTTTCACTTATTTTGTAAATTACAAATAAAGGGATGATAGGAAATAGCTTTCATCAGTTCCAGAAGGTAAAGAAACAAACATTTTTGAGCACAGGATTCTCTTTTAGGTAATAAGAGGTCTAGCCTACTCCATTCCACTGAGTCCCTCCAAAAACTCTATGCAGTACATACCACATCTCACCAAAGATGGATTTCAGGAAAGTGAGTGGCTGCTAAGATCATAGTTTATGTTTCACCAAGTTGAGACCCAAATAAAATAAAGCCCACAATGGTACTAACTTAAACATGATGTGATACCTTTATTTAAGTACGAATGAAGATTAATTTTTTAAAGTCAAATAATCAGTGCTTTATTAATGATATAGGGAATATAGTCTTCATCTTTTGTTCCCCAGGCTCATCAGTTGATTAGCAATGAAAATAAATAAAATAGTAAATTACAATCACTGCTCTATTTATACTTCTTGTGTTTCTTTTTCATTGTGTATGCAATGTATCAATTGTTATTTCAATAGAATAAGAGGCAAGGTCACTATAAACACAGCAAGAAAAACAGAGTGACATCAATAGATTGAAGGTACAATTTAAATCCACAATTATTTATAACAGCAATGCATACAACTAATTCTCAGAGAATAGCAGAGTAATGAATTGAGTTTTTTCAGTCCTACCTATTTTCCAGAGAACATGCTGTTTTGCAGGTGTCAAATACAAGGCAATCTGTTGAGCAGGTCCATTAGATTTTAATTCCTAAAAGAAGCTACTAGTTTGGCTTACATTATGGCTGAAAGCAGATTATTGAAATCTTCACAATTTGCAGGGGGTGTGGGGGTTGGTACTGGGGATCGAACTCTGGACCTTGCGCTTTCACAGCAGGTGCCAGAACCACTGAGCTAAATCCCCGGCCCGTGAAATCTTATATTACTAAAATTATTTCATAGTTTGTAAATCACATTTTTCAGAAAGGTCAGTCCTCTGCTATTCTCTGAAACACACTGTCCATTGTAGGTTAGGGAAGCTACTCAATACTCCTGTGCATTCTATTTTCACATATAAGAATTTGGGTTGATTAGCTGGACTCACTAGAAGTTGCTGAAATAACAAATCATTCCCTGAAGATCATGTGAAGCTTGAAGAAATGCTACACTAATTCATGTTGTTAACTGAAATTAATGATAAACCATCCTTTCCTTGAAATGTGAGAAAATTCATGTAGACAACCAGCTGCTGTGACTACGTATTTAAGTGCAATGTGAAACTTCAGCTCGGGGCAAAGACTCAGGAAGATTATTCTCCAGTCTCGAAGTGAAGAAGAGTGTGGTGAGACCAGATGAGGGGAGATCAAAGAACCAGTACCCATTACCTCCACCACTGATGGATGATTTTCTCTCGTTTGTAGGGAACAATCCCAGTCTCATACGATAATTACCAAGGGCTGGAAATGAGCAATTCTATTCACTCTAAACTGAATCACAGTAATCACTTGCGAGGCCAAGCATGTGAGGGTAAATGAATGCAGCAGGTGTGGGAAACTGAAGGTTTGATATGCAGAAAGCGTATTTTTCATCACAAAGTTGGTAATAATGTTGACCAACCCTAGTTAGGAAAAAAGATAAGATTTTTTGCCAATTGCAAGGGGATTAAGGGATGGAGGGAAGGGGGAGGGGAAAAGGGGACATAAAAAGAATTAATATGTAATATGTACATGTACCACCTCTCCACAATTAGTGCAATCATCATGCAGTGCAGATACGTATTAATAAAAATAAAACTTAAAAAATCTCTTTGCCTCATCAATTGGAGGAATCGTGAACTTGCATAAAAATTGTTACATATAAAATGGAATTTGGTCATTTTTCTCTTTTTCTGAATGACTGTCCTCCAATATCAAAGAAATTCATTCTTCCTTAGGAAACAAAACAAACATGCAAAAGTTGAAGTACAGAGCATAATGGTTGTTTTAAAAATTAAATACGTCTTGCTTGAGTTGTTCTACTTTATTTTTTTCAATTTTATGTGGACTCTGGGTTGAATTTCCAGAATCCTTATTAGCTGAGACATAAATCCCTGAAGCTTGAGTGATTTGCACCACAAAACTAAACTGAAACTTATGCTCCAAACTCTTTTCGAAAAGCATCATTCATAAGCAGAGTTGAATCACTTGGGTTGGAGGCAACTACAGGGCAAAAATAGGAGGTAAAAGTAGGAAGCAAAGACTAGCAAAATAGTTGCTGCTGTTAGAACTTGAAAATAGCAATCTCCAGCTACATGACTAGTGTAAAGGTAAACCACCAGAAGATAGTGTCAAAGCTGAGAAATCCTAAATTGAACGATTTTCTCTCGGTGCCTGTTTGCAAAATCATACAATTTTTCATGTGTGCCTTCACTGAGGATCAAAATTAAGGTACTGTCAAGAAAGTTGAGTAGAGGTGGGCATGGTGGTCCACACTTATAATTCTAGCACTGAGGGAGGCTGAGGCAGGAGGATTGCAAAATGAGTCCTGCATGGACAGTTTAGCAAGACCG